ATCCATTAAGCCCCAGGAGGTTATCAGCCTATTAGCCTTCTAAATTAAGGCGTGGACAAAAATTGATTTAAAGCCAATTCTTTCACTATTCACTATTTACAACCAATTCTTTGAAATCATGTTATTAAGCACTTCATAAAAAATAAATGCCTGAATTACTGATTTGTAAACTATTTTGGTTTGTTTGATTATCATTAAAAACATATAGATCGTTAGGTACTTATAATAATAATAAATAATTAGTCATGAAATGAATATTGTACTTTTTAATTATTATTAAGCATTAAAATATTATTGTTTCAGGTTCTTCTTTTTTAGTTAGCTTCATTGTGGTAAATTATTAATTTTCAGAAAAAATATACTTGTTTTACCAACGTTTTGTGTCATATAGAACTGTATTGGGTGATATAGATTACTAGTTCCAGAAGAGAATTGATAAATTGACTTCATAATAAAGTACAAAATTAAATAATGTGATTAATAAATAATTAAAAACAAATTATGTTAAAAGCATCTAGTTTTTGATCTCATTCATTCTTATAAAAAGTTGTTGATACACCACAATTGCTTAATTAGAACCAAAGAACGCAAATAACATTAACTTTTAAAGCTCAATGTTATCCGTGCTGAAACAACAGGTTAACCTGCTTAATTAAGTTTTTCTCCAAGACCCAACATGCACCAACATTGTTTTTATATCCCATTTACATATAGTTTGGGTCATGTTTATTTGTTTAAGTGTAGTTAGCAAGGCTTTGAAAAATACTTATGATAAATTTTTATATTTAAGATAAAATTTCATTTAAAATACATACAACTTTTGTTTCCAGATTAACTTCACGTATTTTTAAACATTCTATGTTTTAATCGACATTGCGTAATTTTTCAGAAACCATGATAACGGGTAGACGAGATGAAAATATCTGTCAGTTAGTCTTGGTTTTATTGTCTAAGGCAACATTTTCTTATTTTTATAGAGTAGTACTCGGACAGGAAGTTTGACACATTATCTTAAAATTTCGATAATGTAGTAAGGTACATTCGACTTTAAATGAGGTTTTTGTATAGTTGTAGTTCTGTTTTTGAAGTGTTAGAACCTAGCTGTGGTCTAGTCACTGCAGCTCAAACATGAGCTAGCTCGATCTGGGAAGTACCACCCTCTCACAGAAGATTGGCGTGAAGTACTGTTAAAAGGCTGCGTTTCGTCAAGTGAATGAGAGCCGGTTGCCCTTTCCCTGTTCCCACCCTATCCTCTCTTTCTCTTACAATGAAGGATGGCAACGCATCCGCAACAATTCTTAAGTAAATTCGTAAGTTATCCTTACAGTCGTCCACAGTTATTATATTAGGTAGGCCGTTTAATGCTTGACTTAAAAAGTATAAATTTATGAAAAGAAAAACGGTGATTAGATTTTGCCATCGAAGTTTCATCAAGCTACGAAGTGTTTACAATCTTTATAAAAAAATAAATTGTCTTAAATAAATATAAACTTTAATTTTCCTCTACCATGAATATCGAAAAGAAATGGTTTTTTTCCGATTTAGCTATGTACGACAGTCCAAATTGTTGTTCTGTTACTTTTGTGTCTCCATAATTATGTTACATGAAAAAGACTTGGCAGATCCATAGAAATGTGATTATATGTAGTTTAAGTCATTGTTTAAATTATTTCTGATTTTAGGATTATTTATACATGTTGATGAACGATAATAACTATTTATATTTACTACAAAATCGTGAAATCAATCTATATAAGATTTTGCTTAAACAAATTAAAAATATATTTTAATTTATTTTATAACAAAATATTAACCAGATCAGAGTTTTTAAATACAAACTCTGAGTTATAATTGAATCCAGTTAAGTTGAACGAGTTTTATCCTAGGGTGAAAGTTGTTACATGAACTCTTCTCTGCTGAAATATATATGTACTATTATTGAGTATAGTTTACTTTAAAATTTTGTCATATCAATGATTTGTGAACCTACTAACTTCCATCACCCTGTGAGTGGCTTTATCAATCACCCATCCGTGATCGAGTTTTTATCAAAGAACTTTTTCTTTCGTCATAACCTAAAATAAAACTCAATCAAAATCCAATTTAATATTATATCTCGTAAATTATTAAACTACCAATTTAATTTTTCCTTAGTATTTATATTACATTATTGTTTAGAAAATTTAAGGATATTTTAAGAAATCATTTCTAAAAACCTATTACGATATATAAAAATATTTTATACAAGCCCATGGATGTATATATTTTTCTATTATTATATAATGTACTATCATTATGATAGTTTTAAAAAGAATACGTAATAACTGGGTATCTTTTATGATACTTTTAAATAGAATTTATTGAAATATATCAAATTCCCAAATACAATGATTGAATTCCGATTTTTGTATCTACAAAATCAATAGTTCAATAAACCCATCTAAAGTTTCTAGTCCCCGAGGCTCTAATTTTGGCTCGCATTCAACGCTAAGTTTATTGTATGTTTGGGAATCCGCACTCATTTATCAATTTAAGAAACCGATTTATTAATAAAATCTATACTTCATTTAAAAAATATTTTTTCAATAACATCTCAAACAAATTTAATATTTCTTCTTGAGTCCTGATATTAAAGCGTGTACTTTTTTATTATGTTGTATTATATAAGTCAAAACTGCAATGTAATTATATATATGAAAAAGGCAAGCATTTATTGTTAGGTGGGAGACACTTATGCATTAATATCTTCTGAGATTTTTTCTCAAGATTTACTAAAAGAAATTTTATATTGAATGAAATTAAACAAATTGTTCTAAAACAGTAACCTGCTAATGCCTGTAGTGGCTTACGTCTTTTAGTCCTGAAGAGTAAGTGTTTCAATTCTACATTAAGACGTTATTTAACAAAATAAAAGTGTGCTCTTAGTTTTCTTACCATAACATACATAATATTTTTAGAACAAATTCTTCCTTCCATTCATCTTTCATTCAATGCCATTACTTTCCATATTGCCCGGAAGATATTGTCAGTAATTTGGTAGAGACAATTTACGTTGATACATATATTTTCGTCTGAGACACAAAAAAAATGATAAATGTAACTAAACAACTTTTTATTGATATTTGTCGTTATTTTGTAGTCCGTTGTGTGTTATATATATATATATATATATATATATATATATATATATATATATATATTGTTGTGTGCGTCTAATTGTAATATTATGTTAACAACTAGCTCTTTGCGTGTTACATATTGCCTTACGGTGATAAGGTTGCTTTGTGTCCTTGTACTTTTTAACTTAAATATTTTGTATTGTTTTTTCTTTAATATAGAATAAATTTATAGGAATGTGGTACCAAATTTATGAACTGCTCACTACTGATTCTAAATTTATCACCTACTGATATAAGCTCTTTTCGTTCATCGACTTTATTTCATACATTTTACTATGCCTTTCTCAGTACTAATTTTTTTAAACAAATTGCTAAATGTAAAGCTTAACATAAAAATTAAGAACTCGAAAACATTCTTTCCATAAAATGATAAGAAAGAAAGTTATTAAGGAAACAAAATCAAAATATCATATAAATCCAGATCGTTCCACTTACAGTAAGTATATTATATAAAACGACAAAAAGCATACATAATAGCCTAAACAGAAGATTTTTGCACTTTGCTCGAAATATGACAACGTTACAATAATAAATGACAAATATAAAAAGTCACAAAATAAATATATGAAGAAAACAAGGAAAATAATATTACTTTAAGAGCTATTGTATATATCATTCATAATATCGCATAATGACGATATCTTTCAAACAAAATAACAATGGCCACAAACTGAAGCTGAATTGTAAACGAAATTTATTATAAACATATATGATAATAATATACCAAAAATAACTAAAGGAAGACAAGAGGTAAACAACATAAAAATTTTTAGGGAAATTTCATACGTTGAAACCAACTTTAAGGTTCAAGTTGCATCTTAACATAACTGGCATTGGTATGTATTAATGCTGTGAATTATTTTGTTGTAAAACGTAAATAGACTTATAAAAATTACAATACAGACTTGGTATTTTTGATTTTTAGAATCAGAAAGTGATTTTTAGAATCAGAAACTTTTAATTACTTAAAATTATTAATTTATGATATAATTCGAGCAAGGAAAAAATCTTGCATGACTATGTTATCAACATTCATACATGTCTTGTAATTTCACTTTATATTTACTAAAAAATGATGTAAATAAATACACTAGGGATGAATTTATATCAAAGAATTGTAAGTACAAGATACGATTACTGAATAAAATCATTTTCGATTACATTAATCATTGTGAAAGGTAAAGAACGCTACATGTATTGTTCTGGTCAAAATTCAAGTTTCAAATAAATATTCTTAATTTGTTCTTAAACTACATGACTTTGCACGTTGCAATTGTAATGGTTTGGCTGTAAGAGACTCCTAAAAGAAAATTTACTTCCGTAAAGTCACTGAGTAGGCGGAACGTGATACAAGAGTCTACGTGACCTCTAGTCAGTTGAACGAGGACTCTAGACAATGGAATTTGTTCTTTAACCCTTTCAGAACTGAATTATTTTTTTTGTGTCAAATGAATCTAAAAAAAAATGAAGCTAGAGTAGAGTAAAAAGACTAAGGAAAAAATTATGAAAGAAATCCTGGTTGTTAGGTTTTTAAGAAAATAACGTTTTTCTTTTTGTGTACAAATGTGCACATCCGTCTTACGTAGTGATAAGATTGCTGTTCGGGGCTTTTCATTCGAATTATAAAAAGTTAATTTCTCAATGTTTTTATTAGGAAATAAAAAACTAACAAAACTTAAGTACAATTCTTATAATTATTAGCAAAAAAAAGATTTTTTCTTTGGGATAGCCGCTAATTGGAACATAGGTTAATTAGTCATTTGAACATTCAAAAAGCAAGTTTCATAAATTTACGTATGATGAAATGCTAAGAAACAGTTTTTATCTTTGGTAAGGCAAAGTTGAACTTTGCATTTTATACATACATTTAATCCTGGTTCCTCTCTTGCATCCAACCATTTTGCACCGTGTCCCAAGTCCCTTATCATGTGCAGGAAAATGCCCAACACCGTCTTTTGCTAGATCTTGCGGTATTGGGCTACTGCCACTGGGCCGTCCTTTATTACCGATTATAATTTTATTCCTCAACACCAAACTTTCAGCCAGCTGACGACGAAATTGAAGCAACTTGAGTTGTTCATTCTTTGGTATGTCTAGCAGCGCACTGTCAGTTTGGTACTCTCGGTACGCCTGCACTACAGCTAAATCAGAAGCATGAAATATCATGCGAAGAGTCCATTTTTTAGATTTTATGCAGGTTCTGTAGTAGCTCATGCGTTGATGTAGTAGGTCAACTCCCCCATTGCGTGATTGTATTTCCTGACCACTTCGGGACGTTCAACGTCAATAAATTTCTTATCTTTCTTACACCACCTACTGACTAAGTCATTTTCACCAATACCAACAATCTTATTATCGAGCCACTTGACCACAGTTACATCTTCGTCAAAACTACTTCTTGAGGAAATCCTTGAGGCTTTTTATTGTTATTTAGGAGTTCCTTGTGTCTCCACCTAATGTTCTGTTTAGGCGTTATATTCTGAAGAATATTTTCATGAGAGAATTCTTTTTCTGTTGTCGGTGGTACTTCGCGAACCACTTCATCGCAGGTGTCAGTAACTCCTGGATCATTCGTCCTAATCCACAATGAGCTAGGCCCTTCATCTTCTTCAGTGTCGGGTGGGAATACCTCTCGTTGGTTTTGATTGATGACATCTGCAACTACTCTGACAGACTGCAACTCTCTTTCAGAAGTAAATCCAAACGGCTCTTCGTCATCAGACGATAGCTCCAAATCGGAAAGAGTTCCAGCGCATAGGGCTTTCAAGGCGTCCGGTGAAAACATATCGGTGTTTTTTTTTTTCTGAAAATGTAAAAAAAATATTTTACCTCAACATATAACATATATTTTATATAGCATAAACAACACAAACATTATTATTATAGTCACAAACATATTCAAAATAGATTTTGCAAATACGGCTAAAATACTTCAGCAATCGCAAAAACATTGTTTACGCCTGATGTGTACATTTGTGTACAAATATAAAAATTGTGATAATTGATACAAAAATAGAAAAATAAACTCAAATTATACGTTACTTATGACCTTAGGAATATAACACATCAATTCATATTTTTGCAGTGCGCATATTTAGCTATTTCCTACTTTTTAGAAATAAAAATGACGAGCTTACCCACATCGGTCCAACTTCGGTCAGCCACTGATCGAATCATGTCGAAAAAGTCACAAAAAATTCTAAGAGATAGCGTTAATAGTATACATTTATATAGTTTATAATGTGGACATATGAATACAAGCGTTCTCAATTGCACTTGTAACGAAATAAATAGCAATTTTTTTTATTATATTTTATGTGTACATTTGTGTACGCCAGGTCTGAAAGGGTTAATCACAAGATTTATTAATTGTTTTTATTAGAATATAAAGATATATGGTTAGAAAATAATTAAAACAATATTAGCTTTTCAACAGAAAAATTTAACCTAATATCACTCTAAATTTATGTAAGACTTCAATAATATTTTAAACTGTCACTTTTCTTATTATAACGTGCCACCTTTTCTTCGTTTGCCTTTATTTTTTATAAATAATTTTCTGTACAACATAAACAGTTCTTGTTTTATTTCTAGATTTCATAGAACATCATATGATATATATGTACATTATCAAAAGATATTAAGTTTGCTTCTCCTCATATCATATGAGTAAAATGTTGAAATGTTTCTCATCCACTGAATTCAACTCGGTTCTTGATTGTCAATCATTACTACACTAATTTACTTTTTATTTATATTTAACACGAAATCTTACTTATTTTCGTACTGAGTAAATATGATCTTATATCAAATTACCGACGCAAATTTAAATGTTTTTTTATTAAATTATATTCTATTCTTAGACTCCGTCTTATTTAATATGTAGATTTTCTTTTTGTTTTAAATGTCATAGCAGCTTTGATCGTCAAACATTTTAATGCTTCAAATTTCTTTTCATTAAATATCTTTTTTTATCGACTCGTTTATTATAACAGCTGTACGGCCCTGGAACAATTTACCACAGTCTGTAAGAAAGGCTCCCACGAGATATGCTTTTAATATCAAGTCAAGCAGCAGTTAAAGAAAATTCTTAGTGTAAGGATAATGTAATAAACGCATCTTCGCATTTAGTTCTCGTATTTTAAACTACAATTGTATACAAGTGCAACAAAGATAAATAATTGAATAATTAATTAAATATGATACAATCTATGTATATTATGAAATAAATTTTTAAAATAAAATATTAATATGTGTACTAAAAACTATAATTTAGAATAAAACGGTGTGTAATAAGTTGACTTTAACATTATTTATAAAACCGTCTAACTGTATTTGCCATCTAAAAATATAATCTTTTGTTATGCATCAGTAATAATGGTTAACCTATGAAGAATACAATCATTTCAAAATATTGGAAATAAATACGTAAATAGAGTTTAAATATATTAAAGGAAATTCAATTTTAAACAAAAATGTGTTTCGAATAATGAAAATATGCAACAATTTAAAACTTTTGTGAATGCTTTGTTTTCATAATACTCAAGAGTATGCAATGAAATTGGTTGCTAAAACCACAATTTTACGATATTCAAATTATTTGTATAGCTTTGCGGTTATTAAAAACACATTTTATTATTACTCTCGTAATTTTATTGGTCTTTGTGAGTAAATTTTTAATTGAATAATTGAAATGTCCATGATTTTTAACAGAACAAAATTGTTTATCTACATATTTAGAGATATTGTATTTCTATGTTTATTTAAAGTATGTGATGTTTCTTAAGCTTAAAATCAGACTGTTGTCTTAGAGATTATTTGAAAATGTTGATTGTTGTTAAACAACAATCAAGTTGATTGTTGTTTTAACTTAAGTTAATTGTTGTAAAATTTTAATAAAAAAGTTTATTGTATGCAATACAATAGAACAAAATTTATCAAAAGATATAAAAAAATATATTATGAATATATATAATCGAGCTACCTTTCAATACTGTGACATCAGTTTAAAATATAATTAGTTTTCTTAAAACCACCCGTGCAATCGTACCTTGACCGGAATAATAAGAAAATATGAATAATTTTAAGGGCCTTAATATTTTCCTTATAAACAAAAAACAATTATATTTCTATAGGATTCTGAGTATTTTTTAGCATGTATAAATATCTTCTTCTTCTACCTGGCAATTTCCCAGCTATAGCCAGGGTCTGCCTTACATGTTGTGAAGAGTTTTTGGCTATTTGTTTTTACGACCGGCCGCCTGCCTGACATCAACCCTCTTTTTGGGAATCAACATTAATCAGTGATGTCTAAATACTCTTAGAAAGTACATATGATTCGGAAAATCACATTGGTACTTTGCGCGGGCCAGGATCGAACCCGCGCCCTCGGCGACGAGAGGCGGGCCCTTTAACCACTGAGCCACCACTGACTTGCATGTATAAATATGTATTTGAATATATAAGACCTACTTCTACCTCTTTGTATCAAAACTTTATGTATTAATTAACAGTTTTTTTAACTAAAACTAATTATTTTATTATATGGAAGAAAATCATTGCTATGGAGATATTTACAATGTTTGAGAACATTTATCACTTTCTGAGGCAATACATATCATTCAAATACTTCCAAACTTACTAATTATATTGAGTGCTACTTAACGAAATAGCTTAAATACACAAAGCAATACTTTATAAATAACAAAGAAATACAAACACTTAACTGGGAGCAAAATCACTTGAAAGTTGCGTCATTAACAAACTTAATTAAGAAAAGAGGCTTTATCAGAAAGTTTGTGATTCCCGAGTTACCGAGTATCCTATTAAAATTTAAATCAAAAGAATGACTGAGATGAAAACTTAATGCCTTTCCTCATGAGCGAATAAACAGTATTTTATATATAATTAAACTAATTAATTTTAAATACATTATATGTCATAGAGATTTTCATATCATTCATCTACATTTATCAAATGTAGTTTTTTAAGCTTAAATGAGAAAATCTATTCTGAAAATGACATTAAATTCTATTTCAGTGACATTGCACCAAAGAAATTCTGCTATATTTTGTGACAAAAATTAAATACTGTGCAATGTTATTTTTATTTGCTGAACAAAAACATCTTGATTCATATATTTTAACCAAAAAGTCAATAACTTCGGTGTACTATTCATTGTAATCAAACTTTAAAGTGAAAAGGTTTTTAAAAGTATGTTTAGAAAGGAGTTCGATACAAATTATCATTATCAGTATTTATTTTAAAAGTATCTGTTACAACGCTATAGTATTATAACCTGATCTCGTTCTTCAGAGTACGAAAGCCATTATAGCTAATAGCGGTAACGCTGTTTAGTCGTAATAAATGACACAACAACACCTGAGCTTCAACAACTTAGTTTCGTTTCACCTGGTATAAAACGATCTTAAGGAAACCTAAGAATTTTTATAAATTAACACATCTTTACATATTTATATTTTATTTTTCATTTAAACAATTCTGGTTCTTTGAAATTCTGTGTTTATTTACCTTTGTGATTTTTTTTAATGTTCAATAAAATTCATATTAAATCAATTCATTGGTTAAAAAAGGGACCCTAATTATACAGGACATATTATTGTAATATAAATTAAAAATAATTAATCTTAAAAATCTTAAAAAAAGCAACACTAGGTACCTATATATGTTCGTATATAATGAAAACTTTATAATTTCCTAATACATTCAGTCGTATTTTGAAATGAATTTATTGATTTATTAAGTAATTCTATTATTCTCATAAAATTATATATCATATCATAGAATTCGTGGAATACATTTTGCATGTATTATGTAAGAGAAGCTTTGGAATAACACCTACACTGAAACCGCTAGTAGAAAGCAAATTTACTGAATTGGCGGTATCGATGAAGCAGGATTGTGGATATATAAGAAAGGATTCGGTTAAATTAATTAAATCATTCTATACAAAACAATTCCATACAATACAAAACAACACCTCTAAGATTCAAACTGATTTATTTATATAATAACCACTTCCTGATTAAAAGAAATCTTTGAATAAAAATCAGTTTTAACATATCCAAAATTATGGTGTGTTTTATCACCTCACAATCTTAATTATAAGAGGTAAAATACTCCATCGATAGTTAATAATAACTTAC